AAAATGAAATATTAAAATCACGATGTATCTCGCTGCATTGCGCGAGTACGCTTCTAGCACTTCTAAAATACATTTTGTGGTTGTTTATTTACCTCTTAATAATTCTATTGTGAGAGTCTCTGAATCATTAAGAAATCTTGTTTGGCAGAAAAAAAAGTCCGCCTCTTAATGGTACATAACTATTTTGATGTAATTTTCTTGTATTTACTTGATCTAAAGACATAAAAGGGTCGAGCAAATTTGTGCAACAATTTTTCTCCCATGTCACGTATGGATAAAAAAACCAACGGGGTTCTAATTGTATAAGTTTGGAATTAATTTTTTTAAAAAGCTAAATCATTTTTGTAACGATTCGATAAGTGTTAATGGACTTCCATTGTTGACTGGGCCGTCACTAGTTGGTATCAATTAATTAAATTGGTTTCAATGTAATTGGTACGTTAGATGTACATGTTAGTTCGTTGGTTTTACACACAAGATCGATAAATTATTAGACTAACATATCAAATTAATAAATTATTTTAGAAATAAGATTTTCTTACAAGACATAATTTTGAAAAACCCATTTCCAATCCTAAGAATTTTTGTTAATTTATAAACTCATTTGGATTAAGGCTAAACACTTCATCGTATTTGATTGAACACGACAGATACCGAGAATCTAATTCAGTAAGAGTCATAACAAAGAGCAAGAGTGTTACCTGGTAAATGCTTACTGAGTTTAAGACGCTTAGCAACATTCCTGAGAATGTTACCCGATAAGTTAAGTAAGGGTGACGTTTATTGCCGGTAAACGCATACTTGATGTTTGATAAACGCCCAATTTCAACTTATGTAAACTCATCCAAATTCTGTTTCAACTTCTACGATTTATCGATGACAAGTATAACGAGAAATAAGATCTATCTGTTACCTCGATTTGATTTTCAATTAAAAGAGATCCATCTTCGTTCGGTGCTGGTTTACGATTTTTTGAACTTTTATCTCATCCCTAATTTTAGATATTGGGTGCAAAGGATGTGATCAGAGCCCAAATATAAAGCCCATGGGCCTTGCTATTGTAGAAAAACCACAAAAACTATACCATTGTTTACAAAGAAATAGATTTATTGTTTGGATTTAGGATTTTTCCATTAGGATTGATTAAAGGGGAGATTATTTCTTACCTTCTCACCATAACTTTTATTTTTACCAGAAAACAGCCCTTGGAATGTGTGTGTGTGTGCACGTGTGTTATTAATACTACAGTAATATAATATAATATTTTGATTTATAATAAGAAAAAATGCAAAAGCAAGTAAATGACAAAATGGCCCCTTAGGTGCTGTTACCAAACGCTTACCTGGTAAGCGTTTACCAAGTTACTTTACTTTACCGATTGAATATGGAAATGATTAAGAATCTTACCTAGTAAAAACGAAGACAAGAATTTCGAGTCTTACCCAGTAAGAGAAGACGAGGACTCTTACCATGCTTAGCGTTTACCAGGATAAATTGTTGCATACAATGTGTTTTAGTGAATAAAATCTTGCCCGGTAAGCAAGCGATAGTGTTGAATTTTACCGGTAAGTGCTTACTAGGTAAGTGTTTAGGTAAACGGCCCCTTAGTTATCGGGATAACAAAATTTGTTAGGACAAGAGAGCGAAACCAAGCAAAATTGTAAACTCCGATAACAAATGATGTAGTAAACGAATTTTAAGAACGAAACTAGAGAAAATCATAAAAGCACATACCCTTTCGAATGGGTAACACTGACATCAAGTGAGGGTATTAAGGGTGGTTGGAAGACTCATGACTCAAGTAAAGGCATTAAGGGTGACCTAAACGCATAAAAAGTAGGCTAGAACCAAGTAATGTAACTTATGAAAAAGCAATATTGATCCGACAGGTGTTCAGTTAACTTTCTCTATATAATCAGTAACAATGTAAACATGTTCTTGTGTTGAGAGTCTACAAGGTTCAATAGCATGTGGGTTTTGATTTAATGCAACAACATTATGTTTGATGAATCTATCATAACTCCTATTTTAATTGGATAACCATCAACCCTCCATAGACATGGGCAAAAATAGGTCCCAGTCCAAGATTTTCTATTTGCAACAAGTTTCAACGTAACCAGCCCCCATCTTGGTTTTACCGGTCCCGTTTTCCATGCACAAAGCACGGTCCTAAATTTTCATAAAAAATGTAACTAGTACCAAACCGTCGATTTAGAACCAGTGCGATGCGGGTCCCATGTTGACAATCTCTAACCCCACATGGTCCTAACTCCTAACAATTTTCTTGGTAATATTGTTGCAGGCTTTCAGTCCAACATTAACATGTTTATGCCCATATTACCCTTTTTGGGCCTTCACAACATATATAATCTGTGCAACTATCTTCAGAAAAGCTTGTCACATTCGCATTCGACAGTGTTTGGGGTGCAAGGGATTTGAACGGCTCACCATTTGGTAACGGTATAATTAATTTAAGGTTTTTATTTAAAAACTTTGTTAGGTTAAAATTATGTAAATAACCAATTTTTAAAAAATTGATAATTTATTTACTAAAAAAAGTTTATAACTAAAACATTTAAAATGAAAATGTTTAATTGTTTGATTATTCAGGACTTAAATATCATATAAAAAGCTTATAGATGGAGTGTTTGAACTTTTCCTTTCAATATATGTTATTGGTTAATTACTTTCTCGGTCACAAAATAAAATATCTACATTATTGTTTTAGTTTATCCTAAAATAAGTATATATTTACGCTTAATGATGAGATGATGAAAATTTATCTCTCTATAATTAAAGGTAAATTTATTCTTTAATTAATTTAAAAGTGTAATAATCACACATTCTTAAATTGTGTGTGTTTTTTTTTATCGTGAACATTTATTTTGTATGCCTTTGATATATAGACATGACAAGACAAAATAGTTGTTCAACGTTTGATAGGACATAATAGAATAAGTAAAATGATCAATTTACTTCTAATGAGTTGTTTATTTATTTTGATTAATTTACTTAATTTATTGAATTATAATAAAAATAGAAATTTATGTAGTAGAAAGTTTTCGTCAAAACAATAAAAATAAAATTTTTATGTAGTTTTCAATTTTTGTTTTTATCTTTTTTCTACATTATTTTTAATGTTTGTAAAAAATTACATAAAATAATAAAAATTTAGAAACCATATAAAATTAATATTTTGAAAACAACAAAACAAAAGTTTAAAAAACATAAAATACAACAAATAAAAATTAAAGAATGAATAAAATGTAAAAAAGAGAGAGACCTATTTGATGCTTTAGAAGAGAATTAAGTTATTTGATATTATATTGGTAAAATATAAGTCTGTTCCACATTGTTCCACTTTGTTCGTGCTTGTTTTACATAAAAATTCTGTCAAACATAGAACAAATATCCATGTTCTGTCATATTATATCTAGAGTATCAAAGTACCAAACCTACCCTTTAAAACGAAGAAAGTACTAGATAATGTTGTTATGAAAAATTATAAGCGTTCTCGCACAATGCAGCAAGATATATCTTTATTTTAATTTTTCGTTTTAGTATTTATTTATGTCGATTTTATAATATGGTTTCGTGTTATTTTGAGACAACAATTATATTTTTTATATTTGAATAAAATATAAATTATAAGGCCATAGAGAAATTTACGTCCAAATATTAATATCAATTAACAGTTTAAGAATTCTCCTTTTTATATAATTTTTAGTTCAATTTTTATTATAATTTTAATTCAAGATTAATAACAGAGTAATTTTATTTTAAATTTAACAAAATATTTTTTTATAAAGATAATAATTAAGTATGCTGTTAGGATTCAATGATTATCTTAGTTACATTTTATATTTTTTTTATTTAAAATGAGATGTTTATTTTGTATTTGATTATATTTATCTGTAGATGGTTATACGAATTCAAGAATGAAAAATTAATAAGTTGTATTTAATCACAATTTACTTATAACCTTGAATTTTAAGTAATATTTATCAAGAAATAATGATTTATAAATGTTTTTATCAAATACCTTATAATATAGTACTAGTTGTGTACCCGCGCAATGCGACGGGAGCTATGAATTTTAACGATTTTGAAGTTCTACTGGTTTTATAAGATAAGATTTAACGATGATATAAGTTACACTTGGTCTTTACATATTAATACAATTTGAATAAATATGAGTTATGGTTCCAATTACAGACTATCGATGAAAAAAATTGTATAACAGTTTAAAATATAACATATTTAAACGACTCCACAAATGTGTTCGATTTACACCAAGAGCAAAGAACCAAGAAACTTGAGTTTTAAGATAAACACTCAAAACCAATAAAGAAAACTACAAATTTGACATATCATAAGCCATGAAAAGACTAAAAAGATGGATTTTAAAATGAAATTTCAACTGCTTAATTGTATATATATATTTTTTAAACATATTAATTCAGAACATATTATACAGTGCAATTTGGACAACCTAACCCCAAAATATATAGCATATATATAAATAAATAACTATAAAAGTATAAATCGTAAATATTAAAAATATTTTTTCACAGTATATATAATATATAATAATATAATTAAGTCAAAAACTATTCAATATTGGACTCATTTCGAATGTATTAACGAGACGATTATAATGGTGTAACTTGTTAAAATGAAAATGTATTTTTTAAACATGTTTTAATTGATATACGATTATGTATGTTAATTTGATAAATGTTTAAAATGAAACATTTAAAAGTAAAGAACGTAAAATAAATTAATTAACTAATTATAGGGGTATAAAGTATAAATTAAAAATTGTAATTTAAAAAAATCCGTTGTTAGAGGGTGAGTGTATGTGAGGGGTGAGTGTATGTGATGAGAGGAGGGGGTGAAAAAGTGAAAAAGTAGTATAAAGGGTATCTTGGTCATTTAGTATTTTAAGACTTTTGCTAATTTTACTTAATAAGATAGTATAGATAGATATATCTAATGGATTAGAGGATAAAATTTACTAATTAAGTAAAATATTTAAAACACTTAGAGCTAAAAAGAGTTACCAATCTCATTAATAACTAAGAATCGACTAGAAACAATTAAAAAACACTTGATTTTCTAGAAAACCTAAACTTAAACTAACTCGTCTTATTATTCCACCAAATTCGAAGCAAAAAGGAGGAAGCGCTGGATTTTGGCCCCTCTCTTCTCATCAAACTCCCTAAAAAGGACCAAAGATTGCAGAATTGGCAAAACAAACCCCTCAACTTCTAACTAATTCCCATTCTCCACGACATTGTAAATTTCTTACCAACTGGTAAACGCAACCCTCCAACTTCCACCATCACGCTCTTCTTCTCCGCCCCTTCCCCTTCCTTCTTCAAACCATCCAAAAACTTATGCTCCGTTTCCACCAACTCCACTTTCGACACATCCAAAATCCCCGAATTGCCCTCCACCTCGATCGCAAACTCTCCTCCGATGCCACTTAACCCCAAAACAGTAATTTTCTCGATCACCCAACCTTTCTCGAGAGCAAACTTACTCTCCTCCACATCCGACCACACCTTCGCCATATTTTTCGAGGCCGTAGCGCTGAAGTCAACGTAAGTAGATTGACCGTTCCCCAGTGTCATCTCGGGAAGCTCATCGTTATCGACGTAAAGTTTTCCGTTTGCTTTTGCTTCTGTGGCCCCGGCCGGAAAAGTTACGATAAGGGTAAATGGTGTCATTCTTGCATCTTTTGATATCATTCCTCCCCTTTGCATTGGAAGAATGGTGTTTTGATATAGATGGACATTGATCACGTGCAAGGGAGCATCCAAGGTGACGGTTTGGAGTTGTTTTGCAACGATTGCTTGACTAGGGTCGAACAGCGAGTACCATGTTCCAGGAGGGAACATGGCTGACACGTTGGTTTGACCCTGGTCAAGAACCGGTGAGACCATTAGACTCTCACCAAGCAAGAACTGTGTGCTCAATCCATACAGTTCTTTGATGTTTGGGAACGAGAAAAACAGAGGACGCGCGATGGGTGCACCGGTGGTATGTGCCTCGTAAGTCAACGTGTACAAGTAAGGAAGCAGCTTGTACCGCATACCTAAGGCATTACGAGCCGATTTCGCTACGGTTTCCCATTGGTAAAGCTCTTGTCTTGGAGAATAGTAGTTGGCATGGTCTCTTGAAAACGGGTAAAAAGCACCGAGCTCAATCCAACGGTTGCAGAGCTCTTCAGTTGGTTGCGGATAAAACCCGCAAATATCTGACCCGACCATCGGAATACCGAAAATCCCGAAATTCAACATGGTAGAGATGGAATACTTGATATCATTCCACGTCCCTTGGTTGTCACCGGTCCAATGAGCCGTGTACCGACCCGATCCAACAAATGTGGACCGTGACAAGATAAATGGTCGCTTTCCTTCGAGCCCTTGAAGCGCCTTGTGAGTTGCGATAGCATGCGAGAACCCGTACATGCTATGAGCATCGTACTCACGGACCCCATTATAATGAACTGCGCTCGTGGCTATCGTCTTGTACCCGATTGGGACGTGGGTCCCGGACGCATTAATCTTATACGGTGGATCATCCCATCTCGTTTTCGTTATATTCTTACAATCCAAACAACAAATCCAACCCGGCCCAGTGCCTGTTGGACACTTTCCTTTCGGAATCGTGCACAATCCTGAACAGAAATTGGAAGCCTCATTCATGTCAATCCATAGACCATCCACCGGTACAAGCTCATGAAACCGCCGGACCTCATCTCCCCACCATGAAACAGTGGCAGGGTTTAGGAAATCCGGAAAGTTGACCGCCCCGGGCCAGACCTGGGCAAGATACGGCTTACCCTCGTACTTGATAAAAACGTCTTTTGCAAGGCCTCGTTGGTAGGTGCCGTAAGAGGAATTGACACCTATCCCGGGATCAATAATGACAATATACTTCATGCCACGAGCATGGATTCTGCTCAAGAAATCGAGCAGTTTGGGGCGCGGGTAAGCGTTGGGGTTGAGGGTGAAGTCTTTGTGACCGTCCATGTGATCGTCGTCGTTCCAAATAACGTCGAGCGGGATGTTGGCCTTGTTATAATTCTCTACCACGTCTTCAACAACCGATAGATTGTGGTAACCCCATCTACACTGGTGAAATCCTGAATGCAACGTAACAACATTTGTCACATATACGTACACATATGCATATACATATATATATTGGACACGAATGAATATAATAACGAACAAGATGATATTAAGAGGGTGTTTGGGATTGCTTATTTGAAACAACTTGTGTCTTTTTACAAAAGCATTTATCAACTTATTACAAGTCAGAAGGGTTTAACTTCTTCAAAAACTCTTATTACCGGCACCGGTATAAATTGTTTATCCAAACACTCAATAGTGCTTATTACCGATTTCACACCAGAATAAGTTAATAAGTTGCTTTTATAAGCAATCTCGAAACACTCTCGGGCCCACATACACCTTTGGCCAAAAGGGTTGTTAAAATAATTAAAAACATGTTGGGACTTTATTTTCTTTCCTTTTGTAGTGGATGGTGGTACCATAAAAGAAAAAAGTGGCATGGTGGGTCACATAAATTATATAAGCTAACAAACCAACCACAAAAATATAATTCTATTAGAAATAGTAATATATAGTTCCAAATTTTAATCGACTATCAAATGGTATCGTTGGTGCATTAACCAGGCAAGATTAACGTATTGGTAAGAGTCTGACAATGCATCATGAACTTGTACAGTACAAGTCTGACAATGCAATTAGTTTGCAACATGGGATATCTGGTGGCAAAGTAAGCAAGAGAAGTACTAACCGAGGGACCAATATGGCATCGGAGCAGGCCGTCCGATGAGCTGAGTGTACTGATCCACCACATTCAGCGGCGACGGCCCGGAGAAGAAGTAAAAGTCCATAACACCCCCAATCACCTTATACGTCAGTGAACTCCCTCTGTAAAACACATCCATCCCATTACTGTTTAACAGCAGAACACCATGTGCGTAAGCTTCCCCACCCACATTCCTCAAATCCATGTACACCGGATGCGAACCGTACAAATCCATATTCAAATTGATCGCCGATTGATCCGTCGTCCACAACGTGTACGGATCGTTCGGGTACAGTTTTATCCCGTGAGGTTGTGAGTTCTCACCTAGCCCGTATAACGACGCATCCGACGGCAGAGATGTTGATATCTCCAGGTATTGGTCCTTGAACACTAACGAATTGTAGGGAGCGGATTTGTCCGCGGTGGAGTTGAACAGGGTCTGACCGTTTGATTTTCTTTTTACGGCGAACGAGAATGGGTCCGCAATGCAGCTGAATATTAGCTCGCCGCCGGAAAATTCAGAGACGGTGATGGGGTTTTCCCTTGACTTTCCGATGGCTTGTGTCGAGGGTCGGTCTCTGGGCAAGAGATCGTACGGTACTTCCCATCTTTGCTGTTGTGCATCGCTGATGTGTACCCTCAAACGGTCATCTGTTTCGTGCCTGAAATGAAATGAAACCCCCAAATCACGTTAAAGGTGTGAAGTAAAAATTTCAATAATAGCCCCTTTGATTTTAGTTAATAACACTGTACCCCACCTACATTGTGAGTGAAAAATACAGACGAGGTTGAAACTTACTTGATGTACAAGTGCAAGTGAGGGATATCTGGACCATAGATGCTGTTTTTCCGGTTGACTTGAAGGTGGCCGAGGAGACCACCGTCCGACGACTCTTGAAGAGAAACCAGACGGTAGCCATTTCCAATGGTGGTGGGTGCTATCCGACTGGATTTGGAAGAAGAAGCAGGTATACAAGACGATATAGAAAGTAGAAATATTGTGAGGAGAAAGGTAGATGGCAGAGAAGCAGACACCATGGTGGTGTGTTGGGGGTAGTGCAGTTGGGTTAGCTACAGAGCTAGTGGGGTGGTGTATATATACAGGGGGGAAGAAGAAAAGAAGGGTTTAGGGTAACAGGGGTTGGGAGGCGATAAGATTGGTGGTTATGTTAAAGTTCATGTGAGCATTGGTCCCACGCAGCACATGAAGACGAGCTTTGATTGTGGTGATGGAATTAGGGTTTGCATTTACTTCCACCTTCTAATTTCAAACCACCTCATTTTCCGGGATTGACTCGTGTTTCATACATTTTTCGACTTCGTACAAGTCTTACTCTAAAAGTTGCTGGGAATTTATTGTCTTCAAGATTGGTTTAACTTACAATACGGCTTGGTTTTTTTGGGATATTTCTTAAAAATCATCGGATTCATCTGTAATTAGTTGAGATGCACACAAACTACTTTGAAAACCCATAGTTATTAAAATGAAGACATAAAAAGTATCATTTGCAAACATAGATGATATTTACCATTCTAAAATATTGCATAATCAGTAACAAATAAAGGATATTTAAATAGGATAACAACTATTAAGGGATCCGTTTTAAACGATTATCAGATAAACATTTACTGTTAAGAGTCACCACCTCCACCTAACTTATTACGTAACATTCACGGCTATTGAAATGAATTGTTGGCAATCATCATTATTCGATAAATATTAATTGAATAAGATTCTTGATCATTGCTATGATTCTTGTTGTGTAAGATCCTCGGTCTCTTTTACAAGATAAAATTTTCAATCCTTTATATAATTCTTACGAGGTAAGGGGCTGTTTGGCAGTTGCTGAATGATTTAGTGCAGAATAGTTAAGAGGTCAGAATGGCTAAGAGGGTTAGAATGGTTAAGTGCTGAATGAAATATGGTTGTTTGGTAAATGTTTTCTGAATGATAACAAATTACCATTTTAACCCTCAATAATATTAAATAATTTAAATTAAATTATAAATAACAAAAATCATATATGTATGGASACGGTTCCAGTTTCATCGCCCCCTTCATCTCCTACCATCTCAGGCCCTCCCTCCGTCGCCGCTGCTTCCCCTCCGTCTCCGCCGCTCAGGCCTTCTCCTCCGTCGCCGCCGCTCAGGCCTTCCCCTCCGTCGCCGCCGCTCAGGCCTTCCGCCTCTGCCATCCCTCTCTGTCGCCTGCCTTAGCCGCCGCTCAGGCCTTCCGCCTCTGCCATCCCTCTCCGTCGCCAGCTTCGATCGACTGTTCCGGTGACCAACAAGAGAGGGGTGCTGGGTTCTATGATTTGATTTTTGGGTTCTATGATTTGAGACGGAGATGGAGACGGTGCAGGTGGCCGGAGATGGAGACGGTGCAGGTGGCCGGAGATGGAGACGGTGAAGGCGACGTGAACTCTGGATGGAGACGGTGAAGGCGACGCTGGAAGAGAGGGGTGGGAGGGGTAAAGATGGAACAAATGATGTCTGAATGGTTGAGTGAAGCACCAGGTGCAAAATGGTTAAGAGGTGTTTGTAACCATTAAGAGATTGTTTTTTTTTTTTGCCAAACACACGCAACCTCTGACCGATTCAGCGATTGGCTCTTAATGTAACCATTAAGAGCCTACCAAACAGCCCCTAAGATTCTCGATTTTTACTATGCTTAAACATTAAGGTAAGTGACACCCAGTAAGTGGTTACTCAATAAGTGCAAGTCTAAATATAGTTTGATATTTCCACTTGTCTTTGTCATTGACGGCCTTTACGTATCCCTGGAAATGCATCACTAGTCAACTATTAAACTTATTAAGTACATGATTTTGCTATTTTCATGGATTTTTGTAATGTAACGGCCAAAATTAGTGATTTCGCTTATTAGTTTTCTAGTGGTACCGGCAGCTGAAACATGATGGTGATAGGAAATAAGAAGTTAAAAGATGAACAAAGACAAATTCGTGTTATTGAGTCTCGTGTTGGTATTTCATAATAAGATACAAAATAAACTTAACATTTATGATGAGTGTAGAAATATGGACCGAATATATATGGTATGCTTTTTAATGTGGTCGCATCCCCCAAACAAGCCATTATTTAGCTCACACCCACTTTCAGTCTTACGACTCATTGATAATAAATCAACCATTTTTAACCGAAAAATAACTGTAAAAAAGTTAATTATTTCTTCAAACACAAAAAAATATATATATGTTAATCATATAAATGGAAGTGTTCGAACAATTCTACCCAATTAACTCCTTATTGTCGGTGTATACGTTTTAATCAAACACATCTTTGTCCTTTTTAAAATAGATTTATATTAAAATAAAATAAAAGCGATTAAAAAAGTAGGATTAGATTTAAATAAAAAATGAAAATAATATAGAGACAGATGGTATTTTTTAAGTTTCGTTTACGATCCCAGATTCAATGCTGCAAATACGATTTGGCTTGTTATGGACTTCTTTGATTCCTTGTCCTTTTACGTTTTCGAGCGTGAACCTTATCACACATCTGGACCCCACTTCCAATTTAAATTATATTTTATTAAATAAATTATCCTATCTAACATTACTATATATTTTTTAAATACGAATTAATGATACATGGGAAAACACATATTCAGGGGGCATCGAATCCAGGCTCCGTATTCCTCACGTATCTATACTATATTATAAAGCATCTGATAAAAAAACTCTTAAGAACATTTTTTATACATGAAATATTGTTTATTGATGTATATTACTTAAAATTCAAGATTACAAGTAAATTATACATAAGTATAACTTATTAAAGCTCTATGTTTAAATTCGTGTAACTAACTACGGATAAACATAATCAAATAGAGAATAAACATCTAATTTTAAAATATAAAAAATCTGAAATATAATTAAGATAATTATTGAGTTCTAACAAAATAATTAATTATTATATTTATAAAAAATTATATTATTAAACAAAATATAAATTAATTCGTTATTAAAACTAAATTAAATTATAATAAAACAGTTGAATTAAAAAATTACACAAAAAATAAAGAATTTTAAATAGTTAATTTGATACTAATATCGATATATTTTGTCAATTTTTTATGATATCTTCAAATTTATATTTTATTCAAAAATAAAAACAGTATCGCTTTTCCAAAATCATATAATACCATATTATAATATAAACCGATATAAAAAATAAAATAAAATATTAAAATCAATATGTATCTCGTTGCATTGTACGAATACCATTCAAATATATAATATATACATACGCATTTTATGTTTAGATAAAAAAGTTAATTTGAAATATAATAATTAAATAAAAGAATATAATAATTATTGAATATTAATCATTTATTTGAATCTGTCTTAAAAAGAAAATCCTAGAAATTGTTGAAAAGAGTATATATATATGTTATTTATTATACACGAATTATAAATAAAAATTTAATTTCTATGAATATTATTTAATACATTTAATTAAAGTATTTATTTGTAATTTTTATATGATTTTCGTAATTTAAGCATGATTAATTTTTTATTTTGTATAGCTTTTAAAATAAGCATGATTTAGTTTTTCATTTTAAAATATTTATGTTTATTGAAATACTCTATTTAAGATTTTTTTTCCCAAAAAAAAATGGTTTAGGTTCGTCAAAATATCATGTGATATTGATCATATAATTTTGCGTTCATAAGAAATGTAAGTATTCTACAACATTATTATGATATTTGTAAATTATGAATTATATTTTGAAATATATGCGATCTTATACATATTATATGTGTTTTTTTTTTAAACTTTATATGTCATTCTGTTTTTATTATTTTTCCCTTTTAATGTTTAATTTAAATTACTGTTTTTTACATTTTAAATTACATTTGATTAAAAAAATGAAAAAATCAATCTATTGTGAGTCAAATATGATTTTGACAAAAAAAAATGTAATTTTTTTTAAATATTGTCTTAAATAAAAAATAAAATTAAATGCACTTACTTTAAATGCATTAAATAGAAAGTAAATTTATTAAATAAAAAAAATTAAAGAATATTAAAATTACAAATGGTAAAAATAGAATATTAAATAAAAGACTTAAATAGTTTTTATATAACAAATTATGTTTATAACCTTATTTCTGTATTTTTAAAATTATTTATTTAACATATATGTGATGAATTGAGTGATCTATATTCATTATCTTGTTTTCTTATTTAGTTATTATTCTCATATGAACTCAACTTAATAGATTTATGCATCAAATTTTTATTACTTCATAAGCATCCTACTTTTATTCACTTTTCTATTTAAATTGCACAAATAAATAATCAATAATGTTAAAAGTGGATAACATTTTATCTTTCAAATTGTTGCTCCCAGTTAGGGTTGCAAGCAAGCTCGACTTCTATCAAATAATTTTGAGATCAACTAGTACATGAGGCCAATAACTAGCTAGTTCTCGTTTCCATTTTTTCTTCATAGTCTTGTAGTTTTTGAGACCTGTTGTTGATAACGGTCTTTCAACTTTGCTTCATGTGTTCCAACTCTTGCAATGTGCTTGAAGGTGTTTCTACTTGTTTTGGTTAAGTTTCTACTCAATTTTGGGGAATATTCTTGTGGTTATAGGAGAAATATGCATCTTTGCAACAAATTTTAAAGGAACAATAATATATATATATATATATATATATATATATATATATAGGGTTGGGTTCACGTGAGACCATGAGTTTTTCGTGAGACCCGTAAGACCAATTTATGTTCATTGATCAACTTTATAAGTTAAAGATCTAATGGTCTGAATTGCATGGTGGCAATTTTGTAATTATTGAGAAGTTTCATGGCATTTGTGAATGTTCAGATCTGACGATTGTAGATCTAATCCAAGGGTTGAGAATTGGTCTTACGGGTCTCACGAAAAAGTCTTGGTCTCACATGATCCCAAGTCTATATATATATATATAATACTTATTTTGGAACAGAGGGAATAGTAAAAAAATATACCTTAAAGTTTACATGGTATATAGGTCGTAACCGTTTT